TCAACAAGGAGACGTGGACAGACCAGCGTCCTAATGTCAGGAGATTCCATCTGGGCATTATTATGAGGAATTATCCTCGAAGCCGTTCAACAGATGGACAAATGGAGTCTACAGGACTCTATGATCCGAGTAGTCCCCGCTGCCTTATTAAAACACATTAGGCTAATATATCAAAGCATCCTTGAGTTATGTTCCTTCAAAAGTTATGAAACCTTTCCTCAATTAGTGCAATTACACTTGCCCCATACTAGCTAAAAATCAGGCTTGCAGCCGTGCGTCTCCGTGCCATGTGTAATTCATCTGTATTTAGCAATCTTCCTAGTGTTCCCCTTTAAAAGTGGAATGTCTACTTCAGGGGTCGGCAACCTCGGCACCCCAGCTGTGACAAAGCTAAAGACGTCCCATGAGGGATTGCAAGACACTGACAGCCCCAGGCATGACTCCCAGGGGCAGAAACACAATGGGATTTGTAGTTTTAACACAGCTGCGGTGCCAAAGTTACCTACCCCTGATCTACTTTCTTTCGAAGCCCCACTTGGCGACAAAAGGAAATATGCAAATGATTATTTTCTCTCTGAAACGGTCTACCAGTTATCTGTACTCAACTGAATTTTCATATTACTATGACTTCCCATGAGACAGCAGCGACCAATACAAGCAGAAGACGAAAATAAAAATGTAAAAGGATTTAGAGTCTAAATCTCGCATTGGCAGGACCTCTACTGGAATCACATGACAATTCAGCACCGACGGCCATATAATAAGGTCTCATGTAGGACACACTCCTTTTTTTGAAACGCACATTAAATGCAGGCCATAAACTTCCCATTTACTTTAATGTAGTATCAATGACAGCTCAGAGGCTGCGTTTCATCTGCCTTGTGTTTCTTCGGACGCAGTATGCCCTATTGAAGTGTGTTTGAACTGCAGATCAAATACAGATTGTTCTCACCATGCGCTGGAGCTTTGCATTTGAACACAAAATTTTAGTAGCGATGAGTTCATCTGGAAAAAGCTGCATTTGAGATAAGCTCTTGTGTACAGGAGCCCCACCTAAACAGGGTGAGTGACCCAAAAGCCAACTGCCCTTTATAAAACAATAAACCCCAATGCGTGGCCAATAGGACTTAGATAGCGAATGCAAACTACATCTACAGCAAACAACCAGACAGCAATTTCTTAAGTGTTCTTTAGAATATCTGCCCTCAGAATACTTTGATGTTTCCTTCAGAGAACTTCAGAATGAGAAGAAACTCTGAAGACAATTATGGGTCATTACTGAATTGCTGTTTTCATAAGCCTGCTCCTCCCAATTACAGATGAAATATGAATTCCTAATACTTACTGTCTCTGAACAAGACAATATCAACCAGGATTCCATCCCAACAGAGATCCACCAACAGCTCAAAATCTTTCTATTGAAATAGAAACTATGACCAAAGTGATCAAGGGAGCCCAATGCCAACATTTCGGATCGAAACTATGACCAAACTGATCAAGGGAACCCAATGCCAACATTTCGGATCGAAACTATGACCAAACTGATCAAGGGAGCCCAATGCCAACAATTTGGATCAAAACTATGACCAAACTGATCAAGGGAACCCAATGGCAACATTTCGGATCGAAACTATGACCAAACTGATCAAGGGAGCCCAATGCCAACAATTTGGATCAAAACTATGACCAAACTGATCAAGGGAGCCCAAGACCAACAATTTGGATAGGAACTATGGCCAAACTGTTCAAGAAAACCCAATGCCAACAATTTCGATAGGGTACAGTGTGGTCAAAGTTTCCAACGCAAACAATTTCAATAGAAACGATGACCAAACTGATCTAAGTAACCTACTGCCAACAATTTCGATAGGTTGTCTTGATGAGTTTGGTCATAGTTTCTATTGATATTTTTTCACAAACAAAATAAAAAATTATCAATTTGGTCAAAGTTTCTAACGCAGACAATTTTGATAGAAACCATGACTAGACTGACCAAGGGAACCTATCGTAATTGTTGGTGTTAGACACTCTACAAAAGTGATCAAGAAAACCTAACGCCAACAATATTGATAGAAACCATGACCAAACTGATCAAATTTGCTTTTGTTTAGGGCTTCAACTAAATGATTATTTTCATAAATCGATTAGTTGGATGACTCAATTATTCGGATAAAAAAAAAAATACCATCCTTAAATTAAAATAAAATACACAGATGCAGTGTTACAAACAAAGCTTACTTCAGAATAAAACTGCATGCCCAATTTTTTTGCACTGCACTGGAACGCACGGCATTGCAGTACCATGCGATCACATTGTGGGTGGGAGGAGCGTTTGGGGTGCCATTGAAATGAATGGCACTGCAACGCACCACCCGCAACAGAATTATTAAAATTGTTTTAATAATTGTACTGTAAGCACATGAATAGTTTCAGCCAGGGAATGACAGCTGCCAGTGGCAAGATTCCGCAGACGGCAGCTGAATGTAAATACAGCAGGTAGAGAGCGGGTGCAATAGCCAACCTGCTATTGGCCATTTCAAATTGCAATAGCAAGTTGGCTATTGCACCCACTCACTACTTGCTGTGCCCTCCTCCCAGCATGGAGGAGAGAGCGAGGGGATCAAACCAACTAATCGATAATGAGAATAGTTGACAACTATTTTCCTAATCGATTAGTTGGTTGCAGCCCTACTTTTGATCATGAAAACTTCCAAACGCATCAAGGCAACCCAAAGTGTTGATGGTCACATTGACCAAACTGATCTAGGAAACCTACAACCAATCTTTTGGATAGGTGGAGTTGATCAGTTCCATCATGGTTTCTATCAAAACTGTGTTGGAAACTGACCAAATTGATCAAGGCAACCCAACCCGTCCAATTTCGATGGACAGCTCAACGTGCCCATTGCAACTGGACTGCATGCTTGCTACATTAGAGTATAGATTAGATGATATGTTACAGACCATGTCTATGGTGAACGCAGGTGTTGCCCACACCATTACCTTTCATTTGCACTAAACAAAGCGCAACAAAAAGTTAATGTTTAGCACAATAATGGCCGGAGGTTGTGCAGCTTCTGTTTTCACAATGGAGAGCAAGATGCATTCACTAATGGAGGCTGTCCACTTTGCACAATGCATGTTAGTAAGTAAGGTGAACTAGTGTACACTTGGATACCCAATTACGTGTTTGCAAATTAAAGGAGGACCTTACCCCCCACACTTATTTAAGCTCCAGCACTATAATCCATATAAATCTATCAAGTCACATGGCTTGTATTTTGGCCGAATCCTTTGAATTGACCAAGATTCAAGCCGTGGGTGGCACTCTCAGCCACACCTCATGGACTAAGGCTATGTTCACATTATGTCTGGACCAGAACTGCAATCACAGTGTGTTTTTGCCACATTCAGGTGTTTTTTTGGGGGGAAAGGGGGGGGGGGTTTAGCTTAAAATGGGCTTTCGGGTGCAGGCCAGTGTGTTTCCATGCGTTCCAGACGAGAAAATTAGACATGCGGTATTTTTCTGGCACGGACTGCTCTGGTGTGAACAGAGTCCAGAAATATCAGAGGGATAGATTGGGATGCATTTTGGGTCTAGAAACAATCTGGTCTGGAGATGATCTGATGTGAATGGGCCCTCAATGAGGAAAAAACTAAAACACGCATGTCAGGGCTGGACACACCCCATTTGCGGAGGCATCCGTGGTCGCTTGGCACCTAACCGATACTTGAGGGTAATATCCGGTCAGGTGTGCGATGGGTTTCTTTTGATTACTCCCCTGATGTATGGCCAGCTTTACAACTCAACCCCAGATCCCATTGTCCTGTCCACTCCATGAGCTACAATCCAGCGCAGCCATTTTTTTTTTTATTTTTTTTTTATACGTCAGCAGTGGCTGGCTTTTTTCTCCCAGTGCTTCTCAGAGCCGCCCCACTGATATAAGTCCACACAATAAGTCCACACAAGATCTCACGTGTGCACTTTGGATGCAGCAGCAGTCACCTACGCAGGTGTGAAACCTCTCAACGATTTCTAGCACCTATGGCCCTGCAGCCTTCTGGGGCATGCAACTTGTGTCGCAGGTGCACAAGGGCTATATGACCTTCACCTAGTGCGAGGAATTAGGAAGTATGAACATCCACATGCTGAACACCGATATTTATAAACTGGAAAACAAATGTTTTATAAGCTCTTTGGACGATGTTTGGAGGGGAAGAAAAGGAGCTTGAAATGGTCACTTTAAAGTCCTCGCTCAGACACGCTTCAAAAAACAAATATGGCGGCTGATCCACGTTTTTTACTGCCCACCTTAAAGTCAACATACCGTCCGCTCAGGCTCGTAGGCATGGTGCAAATTTTAAACAGCATGCCGCCTAAGGGAGGTGGTCCCGCTTTCCAAACGTCACAATCAAATGGGACTGAGCCGAAACCGCAGGGGCATGCGGTTGCAGTACAGTATTGCAAGTGAAAATGGCCGTTGGGTAAAAAAAGAAAGCCAATCAGGAAGCGGCAGTCTCAACACTGGGCAGCTATTACTCTACCGCCCTCTAAAAAGCATGGATCCACCGCGGTGGCAGGCCGTGGTTCCTGTCGTCCATCTGAACATACAAAGGATTTTTGCTGGAACACAATTGGTTGGTTGAAGTGAACAAAGCTTCACCTTATTCACCGAGCTCGGTGAACGTACATCTCCCCCTTTAGTAAAAATCAATGCCACTGTCCCTGAAGACCAAAACGCCATCCAAGCGCCGCAGCGCCCACGCTAATTGATCGCCATTCTCAACAGCACACCTCGGAAAGGAGTAATAACAAGGGACAGAGTTAGTCACCCCCCGGCCGTCACTCACAGTGTTATTAGAAGCAATTTAAACTTTCCCCAACAACAGAAAGTAACAAAGACTTTCAGGCGCAGAAGAATTTGAACTTTTACTGGGTCACCTTAAAGCACACGAACGCCCCGAGGGCGACCAAAGAAGAAAAAGAGAGTCCTACTCACCGGATGGGTTTCTTCTGAACCTTCTGGGGGTCTGGCGGAGTGTACGGAATGATCTTCGGCTCAAAGCTCTCGTTGTCCATGTTGGCGGGGACCGAGTTGGGCTTCCGGACCACGCTCACTCCACCCCTGGGGTCGGAGGCCGACTTGGGGCTGCCGGGTAAGCGGGGGCCGCTTCCGCAAGGCTCTTCCACCCATGTGACGCTTAGCAGGCTGAGCGTGAAGCCTAGGGAGATGCCGACCACCACGGGGCCCGCGGGCCGCAGCAAGGACAGAAGCATGGACAGTCTCATAGCCGCCAAGAGATTAGGAGGCTCCAACCAGCACCCGGGGCAAAAAAATGATTGCGTCCTGCCGGCTTTGCTTTTCTGCGGTCACTCCGCCAAACTCATCGCCACCTCGAGGAACGGAAAGAGAGATGGGGGGGAGGGGGTGAGTGAAGGAGAGGACCCGGAGGACGGGTATGAAGAATGTAGAAGGGGTGTAGAATCTAAAAGGGGTGCGTGTAGGGGGATTGGCGACAAGGATGAGGATGATGGGGTATAAAAAATTTAAAAAAAGAGATGAAGCAAAGGACAGTGGGAGTATATCAGAAGAGACCAGAGGAAGGGAAGAAAATGAAAGCTATAAGAG